AAATGTACTGTCAATAACAAAGCATGTTGAGGATTAAAACTTTTTGATAATGCCACAAACAATGTTTATGATGTGTCCTTTAAAATGAATCGAATGGGTCCTTTTTATTATAGGAAATGCATGCAGGCACGTCTATGTCTGGAATATTTTTTGTCCTGGAGACCACTCTCAAAGATAATGATATCTGTAATTAACTAATTTAATATTATAAAACATTCCAGGTGGTGCATCTTTACACATAGACACACAAATAGTATTTGAACATCAGAGCACATCTCTCCTGTACCTCCATCTGTCCTTGTCCATGAGTCATTTGGCGGGCAGAGATTGCAGCATGAACTTCCGCGACCTGTGCTTCTCTCAAACCCCCGCTGACAAATCTTCGCAGCATTTTATACCGCGACCTTTCCATCCAGATGCACTCATAGTCACTCACCAGAGTATTTCCAAAGATTACAAAAAATATGCTCCTGTGTGAGGCTCGTGAATAAAGACACATGTGGTTTCTCTGGTGAAGATTGCGTTCTCGGCCGTTGAGAGATGGTGATATGGTGAGATACCAAGACGACCGAATTTCTGGTGTTGCCTTTTGTAGCGATGCAGATGTTTGGCAAACGTTCTGCCCACAGTCAAAATGGACACAATAGGGGCTAGAGATTTCAGCAATTCAACCACAACAATCTGAAATACTTTGCCCATTCAGTTGTGACAGCTGAACAAACTCTTCTCTGGACATCTCAAATCACAAATAAAAGAGGCAATGAATGTCCTCGCCACTCTTGCAACCCCTGGCACTAGTCCCATAGGCATCATGCAGTGTACTTGCCAATGAATAGCCTTATCGGACCAGGATTACCAGGATTGTGGTCAACCATGGGACATGCACCCTCTGCGTAATGTAATATGTTGCTCGTATGGATGTAAAGCTTTGACCCTGAGACTGTGGTGCAGATTAGAACATGTTTAAGTTCGAGGCTTCCCATAGTTCTTATTGAGTTTGTATTTTCACTATATTACGCATTATTCTATTCACAGAATAAAACAGTAATCATGTAAATAGAGCATAAAACAATCTCCAACCAACTAACAAATCCTAACGTGGCGGAATTTAACCATTTTATCGCCATCAGCAAGGACAGAACCCTAGCAATTTCAAAATGGGATTTAATCAGCAACAAGGGCGCCATCAGTGGCCAGGTTGGTCCCAGAGCGAGGCTCCAAGAGAGTTTTAGGCTCGTCTCATAGATATCACTCATCTGAATTTAGTCCATTTGAAATTTCCAGGGGGCGATATTTGGATTTGTTGCTGCTAAACAAAACAAGCACACACAAGGCATAAATAATCACAATTCATTAAAGAATGAAGATTCAATCTTTCAGATGTATGCAGCTAAACAGAACTGTTTTTAACCTGGATTTGTAAATTGACAGAGAGGAAGCCTGTGTCATCTTCAAGAGGACTAGTGTTTAGTCCGGACTCTGGGCACCAGCAGCAGGCCAGTCCCTGTGCTCCTCAGAGTGTGAGTTTGGTTATTTTTAGTATGTTCTTTAGTATGTATATTAATGTGTATTTTGGTCCGAGGCCATGGAGAGACTTGAGTCATATGAGGTCAAAGAACTACATAGAAGACCTTCAGTATGTATAATATGTTTGCTTTAAACATAACACTGGAGATAGCCAGTGACTACAACAACTGCATTTCTGTTATTTAAAAGTATGGCTAGACAACTTTTTCCTCTTTGAACTTTTTAACAACCATTATTATGTACCACTGATTTCTATTGTAATAAATGGATTGACTTGCTTTTGTTCACAAATTGAAAGAGTTTAGTGCTGCAAACTTTAGCCTTTATCTGGAACTGTGGGTGGCACGGTTTCACAGAACGTTGGCAATATCAATGAGGTGCGTACCACTCATTTGTTCTTAACTGTCAGCGCCGTCTGATTATTTAAAGTTATCAATCACTCCCTTGCCCTTCCTCTACGGTTTGAAACTTCTCCACAAAACGGCCTGGAGAAGTGCTAACATAATTTCAGTCCTGGTAACCAAAAAAAATGTTTGTGGGATACAAACCCAATCAGAGTATGTTTTACAACCAGCATTGTCCTTTTTAACTTTTATATGGAATTAACGTGGCTCGAATATTTCAATAAGCATTGGGAGTTTTTTCTTTTTTTATTACCACAAATATTATAAGCTGGTTTTTGACATCTTTGGAAATTGGTCATCCATGTTTGTGATTTTTGCATTTCCAGTATTTGAACTGTTTAATAATATAATTTGTGTTTGTGAAATGACAACTTTGTAAAGTCTTCTGAGATGACTGCTGTTGTTATTCAGGGCAATGTAAGAATAAATCGAACGGAATTGAACTGAATGCCCATACATCCACAACTGTTTATAATTCACCGTTTGTAATGCACCACACACTTATCCATCCACATCCGTTGTGAATGCCCGTTAAATGACTGCCTGATGCACCGGAGTCTTTACCATGTTTATTTTCAACCGTCCATTTTAAATAGATTTTTAGTCTAACATATACAGCTGCAGGATAAATAGAACTCGTCTTCACTGCCAGTTTCAATGGATGTTTTAAATGTAGTCTGTGTCATTTTCCATGTGTGTGTTCCATGAAGGCACTGATGGGACTCGAAACCCTGGACTCCCTGGACCTGAAGACTTGTCCGCAGCCCGCTGTTGGGAGTTGGCAGTTCTGTGACAGCCTTTGAGACGACTGTTGTTGTGATTTCAGACAATATTAACAACAATGTATTTAATGTGACAATGTCCATGTTTTGTCATGTGAAGTTAAACACCTTTGAAAGTAATTGTCATTGATCTACTGTATGAAATGTTGAAACTGGTGGAATAGAATTTTGTTCTAAATTTCAGTTAAACATATTTCCATTTAAAACTTGATACCGCTAAATTGTATATTTGCATCTGCCAAGCTTTTATTTGTTATAATTTTGATGATTATGGCCTTTTTACAGCTGTGAGCCAATGATCAACATTATAACACAAATACAGGCTTTATATACCTCACCTTGCCTGTCATGTGTAAGACAAACGTAGGAAGAAAATAGTCTTTTGAACAATATTCACTTGTATTATTCAGGCCTAATGTATGTATGTGTATATATATATATATATATATAAAGAAAATAAGGTATTTGTTGAATTTTGACGCAGCCATTACATTTTTCCTGAAAATAAAGTAAAGCATGTGCTGTCTGTAAAAGGTGAGACAGAAAATCGTTCCAAATTATTCTTATATCTGGTTTTCTAATTGCTGTGTGTCACAATTTATAATCTCATACGACTCCTGTACGCAGCCTTACAACACACTTCCATTAGAGCATTTAAGCCAGATAGATAAGGTCATTCAGCGTCACATCGAGAACAACACGCACATAAAACTAAAGTACATTGCGTCCTGACTCATATGATTACTGTTTTCCGAGAAAACATGGTTTTCAGATAATCTTTCAGTATGATAATTTTCCCTGTAAAGATAATTGTGTGGCTTTATTAAATTTGCATTGGGGGGTTTCAAGGGTGAGGCAGTTTGTCTGGGAATGAAGTAAATGAATTTCACTCAAGTGTGTGTCGGTGTTATTCTGTGTGTAATTCTATGTGTAATTACTAGTATTTACCTGTTAATGGCCTCCATAAAAATAATGATAATGCATTGGTTTTACATAGCGCTTTATTGGACACTCAAAGAGGCTTTACATGTAATTTTCCATATACTCCAGAAAATGTGGTGATAAACTACTACTGTAGCTACATTTGCCCTGGGGCACACTGACACAAGCAAGGCAACCAGTATGTGCCATCTACCCCTTCGATCACCTCCAACCGTCAAGTGCTTGCTTAAGGATTCAACATTTTGGCACTTTACAGCCGCAGTCGCTCCACTGTGGCACCTGATGTTCCCAAAGGTCTCCCATCACAGTACTAATGGGAGGCCCTTTTCTGCTTAGCTTCAGAGGTCACAACGTAATCTGGCTTTCACATACATTAGCATTGATACATCCAGGTGTTATATATATTTTACATGTGCTATTGCTAAGTATCTTCACACAGCAGCTAACAGATGTTTTCATGCAGTGACAAACAAACCTCCCGCAGCGGCGTCACACTCGCTGCTTTATTGCAAAAAGTACAATCTCAGACTCATCCAAACATTATGAATTTTACACGACCTATAACTTGCAATGAATATAAAATGACGGGGGCGTTTGGGCAGCTCTCAGAGTGAGATGGATAAGAAATAGAAATAGGTAAACTTGCTGGGCGCATTTCACCTGCAGACCTGGCGGTGAAATATGAAAGTTCGACTTGATAATCAATCAAACAGACAACAGTCCCAGTTGCAATCACAGTCGTAATGTTTTCCTCACTGAAAAATGCACAAATACACTGACTCTGGGCCAAATGTTTATTAGGGATTCACGGAGTGGCAATGTGGAGGCAAGAGCAAAGTTTCAATTCAGATGAGATTGAGATTTGTTGAGGTGAACAAGAAAAAATCACTTTTTTGTAGGTAGTTTCCTGACTTGAAATAAAAGTAGCTATCTATATTCAACAATCAAAATGAGCATTGGTTAATATTGGGCTAGAGGGTTGGTCAGAATTCTATGGTAGTACAAGCAAATGTACTACCAAGAGCCGCTTAGGGAGACAAGCAGTGACGCATCGCCAGGTATGGCTGAAATATTAAAAGAACTACGGGCTTTCCGCACTGAAACATCGGGGAATTTTGAGATCCTGAGAAAAGAAATAAGTGACTTAAAAACCGAGATTGAAGACGTTAAAGAAAGAATGGACATTGCCGAGCAAAGACTATCCGAAAACGAAGACAACGAAAGGAATACCACGAGAGTGATGATCCATATGTTACAAGTCCAAAACCAGCTGAAAGAAAAATGTGAAGACTTGGAAAGTCGCTCGCGGAGGAACAATTTAAGGATCTATTCAGTGCCAGAAAAAATGGAAGGAAACAACATGATTAAGTTTGTGACGAATCTGTTTGTGGAGCAACTGGAATTGGACGCCGAGCTCCAGATCGAGCGCGCGCATAGGGCACCTGCTTGGAGGCCGCTGGAACAGAGCGAGCGTCCCCGGTCCATTGTGGTACAATTTCGAAGCTATGTCACAAAACAAACCGTGCTAAAGGCAGCGTGGACGAAGAGGAATATTCAAGTGAGTGGTAGCAGGATCTTTTTTGATGAAGACTTCACCCCTGCCGTCTACAAAGAGCGAGGGAAATATAAGGAGGTGCGTAAAATTCTGCGCGAAAGGAAAATAAAGCATCACATCTTATTCCCTGCAAAACTGAAAATATTTCTCGAAGATGGCAAGGTTAAAGTTTTTGACAACCCAGTCGCTGCTGCCCACGGCCTGCGCGATTTTCGCATAATAATGAAGTCGCCAGCGGAGGAGCCAAACCTAGAAACTATCCTGCGCGCAGCGGGATGGCACACGGTTAGTTCCCGTAAGATGACACCCACGACCGAGATGATTGATGCCGTAAAATCACTGCTACAGAGTAAAGAACCCGACAATGATCACTAGAAGCTATGGAAAGGGACTTAAAGAAGTATCTGAACCCTCGGACAATATGGCTCAACGAAAACAACGTGAACAGGAGGTATTGTTATTTCTCTCGATTCATAAAGCTCCATGCGTCTCTCATAATTTCTTTGAGACTGTATCATGGTTTGATGACAGATGGAAAAGACTAACAACTAACAATAACTATGGAGACGAAATAGAAACGCACACTCTAGATTATTTGACTTTGAAGACGATATAGACCCTGATGAGCATGTATTTAATTCTAGTCGGATTTCATGCAACTATTACAGCCAAGAAGATTTTGATTTAAAAATTTAGTTAGATAATAACTTCTCACTAATTCATTTTAACTGCAGAAGCCTTTATTTGAATCTAAATAAAATTACAGATTTTTTGAACTCATTGAAATCTCAGTTTAATGTTATTGCATTCTCAGAGACATGGTTAAATCCCGAAAAAGGTGTTTGCTTGGGAATAAATGGGTATAATATGTATCACGTTGATTGCCCAGAAAAAAGAGGAGGAGGTGTGGCTTTGTGTGTAAAGGAAACCTGTACCTGTAAAACTGTGGAGAGTATGTCTGTTACAATCGAGGGACTTATGGAATGTGTGGCGGTGGAACTAGAGCTGGAAACAAATCGGAATATAATTATAGTATGTGTGTACAGAACGCAAGGTTCCAACGTAGACACATTTACAGCCAAACTCACAGAATTAATTGATAGTGCAACTTCAAACAAAACTATCTTATTATGTGGTGATTTTAACATAGATCTACTTCATTCACATGGGTCGAAGAAAACTCGCGATTTTCTTAATGAAATGTATAGTAGATGTTTGTTTCCAACCATTTCCCAGCCCACTAGAGTGACAAGTACAAGTGGGACGTTAATTGATAAAAAAATTTCGAATGATATGAATAATACTCTATACAACGGTTTACTGGCTTGCGACATAACTGATCGCTTGCCTGCATTTACTGTTATTGGAGCCAAACCTATCAATAATAGGAACATGCAGGAATTGAAATATATTCGGATTAGATCAGAGAAGGAGATTGACTTGTTTAAAAATGATTTGATTAAACAAGACTGGGAAGAAGTGTATGTGGCAGAAGTAAATGCTGCCTATGAAAAATTCTTAAACACTTATGTAAACCTCTACAATGCAAATTGTCCTGTAAAAATATGTAAGAAGAACACGTTTGCAAAAAAGCCATGGATAATAAGTGGGCTACAGAAAGCATGCAAAAATAAAAACAAACTATATAGGGATTACATGAAATATCGAACAAAAAGGCACGAGACTAAATATAAAAGAATATAAGAATAAATTGACGATGATAATGAGGAAAGCAAAAAAAGATTATCTTCAAAATAAATTAAATGACAACAAAAATAATATGAAGGAAACGTGGAAAACCCTAAATAAGGTAATTAAGCCAAATGCCCAGTGTAATAATCTACCCAAATGTTTTATGCATAATGGAAAAGTATTGAAAAATCAAACTGAAATAGCAGACGAGTTCAACTCCTTCTTTGTCAATGTGGGGCCAAACATTGCTAAACAAATTGTAAACCCAAACCACAAAGAAACAAGATGTAACGTGGCAGCAGCTGGTGGAAGTAAAACTCTTCAATCATTGTTTCTCAGCGAAAGAACAGAATATGACATTCTAGACATTGTGCGGAAACTCAAAACCAAAACCTCAATAGACTGTGATGGAATAGATATGTTTATTGTAAAAAAGACAGTTGATTGTATTCTCAAACCACTTTCCTACATTTTCAATCTCTCCTTTATCTTTGGTGTCTTTCCTCAAAAAATGAAAACGGCAAAGATAATACCAATATTTAAAAATGGGGACAAGCACATGTTTAACAATTATAACCCATATCCATACTTTCACAGTTTTCAAAAATTATTGAGAAATGGTTCACAATCAAATTGGATTCCTTTCTAGAAGGAAAAACATATTATTTGATTATCAATATGGGTTTAGATCCAACAGATCCACCTCTGTTGCACTGATACATTTTACTGAAGAAGTCCTTGCTGCTAGTGACCACTCACAGTACATGGTGAGCGTCTTTCTGGATTTAAAGAAAGCATTTGACTCAGTGAACCATGAACTTCTGTTGTCTAAGTTGCAGGATTATGGCATAAGAGGGCATGTGTTTAAATGGCTGGAAAGCTACCTGCTAAACAGACAACAGTATGTTCAATTTGATCAACTAAACTCAAAACATGAAACTGTGGTATGTGGAATCCCACAGGGTTCCATAATCGGCCCAAAACTTTTTATTTTATTCATAAATGACATCTATGAAGCAACAAAGAGAATGGGCTTTCTACTGTTTGCAGATGACACAACCGTTTATAAATCAGGAAGTGACCTCGATGCATTATTATCTTATGTAAGCACTGAAATGGCAAACTTAAAAAAATGGTTTGACCAAAACAAATTATTATTAAATTGGGAAAAAACCAAATATATGATTTTTGGGACAAGGAAAATTGAGGGGAAAATTAACATCACTATTGACAATTCAAGGATTGAAAGAGTTACCAAGATTACATTTCTGGGAGTTATGTTGGATACTAAATTCAGCTGGAAGCCACATATTGAATATATTCGAACAAAAAGTCAGTAAATGTATAGGTATTTTTGCATAAAGTTAAATATGTTCTTGATAAGGCTTCCTTATTTCTTTTATATTCTTCATTAATTGTCCCTTACTTTACATATTGTATCAAGGTCTGGGGAAACGCATGCAAAAGTGTAATAGATCGAATGTTTTTGCTACAAAAAAAGGCTGTGAGAATTATAAGTCATAAAGGCTCTAGAGAACATACTAACGACCTTTTTGTGAAGCTGAAACTATTAAAATTTAAAGATCTTGCTAATTTAAACATTTTACAGACCATGTGGAAAATTAAGCACAATTTGGTACCAGAACATATTTCCAAGAAATTGACCTTGATCACAGACGACACAAGGCAAAGGGGAAACTTTTGTGTACCGTTCTCCCGAATCTCACTAAGACAGAGGGTTTCTTGGTTGCTGGGGTAAGATTATGGAATGCATTAAAGGACACATTAAAATGTTCTCAAACCATAGATACCTTTAAAAATATGTTTAAGGAGATGCAGATGGAGAAATATAAAAAAACATAACTTGTATGTTGAAAATTGCTACAATGATTGATTTTTGTAATACATGAGTGTCACAAATTTGTTGAACGGATCACCCGCCGATTTGGTCATTGGTTTTTTTGTTATTGTTGTAACTATTACAAAGGGGCATGGACAATAAGACAATGTCTTCATCATGCTCCTTTTCACCATGTACTGTTTATATTAATGTATGATCTTGTAAAGAAAAAACATGAACATAGATGAATAAATAAATAAATGAAATGAAAAAAATGTATATATGAGTGTTTAGATATAGCTCTGATAATCATTCTTACCTCGCTGCTGCTCTGTCAATTATTTTTGTTCCGCTCTACAGCATGTTTATATTCCATATGTTAAATCACTGCTTGTGATAGTTCAGGAATTCCTCCTAATTTGACTTTAAATGATGTTTGTAAAAGAATCAAGTGTTGAAAATGTCTGTATACATGACCATGGATATATGACACTTAAGTCTGTACTTTTCACAATACACAGTCAAAATCAATATATCTATACATATCAAAACAAAAATACCCTTTACTGTGGGAAAGTAAAGACAGGGTGAAATCCGAGGCACTCTGATAAAAAGTCCTTTAATGAGGAAAGGAACCAACGCGTTTCTGCCACGCAGGGCCTTCTTCAGGGCAGTGTTAAAAAGATACTGTTTGACTGGTGTTCAAATAGACTCATGACGTCCACTGGACTCGTCACATGACATGAAAGACATCAATTGGATACTACATTATTGAATGAAGAGAGGATGTCCACTGGGCTCGTCACATGACATGAAAAAACAACATCTATTTGATAAAACATAGAATAAAGTGAGAATATGAAGTAGACATATAGAAACACCACAGTATATGTTAACAAGACAGATACCATCGATACCACATTGAAGTAGCTGCTTTTAATTACGTCTTTGACTTTTGGACCCTGTAGCACTCACTCCTCCTGTTTCTGAATATCTATACATATATATCAAGCGTTTTTCCACCTGATACCGAAGACAAAAATAGAAAAGGAGAAAAACTTCCATATTCAATTTGAGTAATGGATGCTAATATGTTGTACCAATTACTAACCTATGTGTTCATATCCCTTTAAGGATCACCTAATTTCGCCTGCTCCTTCTCGAATTATGATACCCAAATGGAAATGCTTGTTGTGTGGACATCTTGTGTCTGATTTTGTGTTATGAGGCCTCATTTGGAAGGTAACACCTTCTAGTTTCTGAAAATGCATGTTACAGTTTGTTAGGAAGGACACAGTCTGCACTACACCTTCTCAAACATGAGTCAAAGTTAGTTTTTTTTGTCAAAAAAAAAAAGAGGCAATTTCAAAAGGTTCTCCTGAATACATACTTTATGGTATGTTGTTCAAACTCACCAGAGCAGATGTTTGTGGTGTTGGAAACACCTGTATGAAATTTTAGACCTTTAGGTGGAACTATTTTGATGCTGGGGGCTTTTTTGTAACTAATGGGCCCATTTGGCACAAGTGGTCCATTTTTGTGCCAACTGTGCCAAAGTGTTTTACATGCAAATTATCAATGTTTTTACACCAAAAATCCATTCATATAATGTTTTGGCTATTACTCTTGTTATAAATAGCATTTTTTCCAGATATTGAAATGTTTGCAGAAAAGCTATTATTTATATAGTTATAGCGCGTGTTCTCCGTGAAAAAGGCTCCGTCTTCCTCTTTACGCATTCAAATATGACGGGAACAGTGGGAGGAAGCTAGAAGTCCGACACATCGCCTGAAACCTGAGATCATTGGCTACAAGATAATTTGATTGACATCCAAATCGGCCAATGGTAGTCAAGACAATGCTGTCGTGACGCAAAGATATCTATGTGAATGGAGCGCTAAAGCTAGGTGCGCTTGTTTTACTCAACTTACTCTACCTTCCAAACCATAGCACTGAAAAGTCTGGGAATGGGCTTGTTTTGAAGGGGAGGCTTAGGGGAAGACGAACATACCCAGTGACGCTAGGTAAATAGTAAAATGTCCTCTTCATACAGTGCGCAAAGAACAGGTTTTGTTTTTGCTTGTGCAACTTTCAACACTCAAATATGTTGTTACAAGTGGATATCTACTATAAGAATGACTTTGAAGAAAAAAACAACTGGATATAATTATTCTCTAGACCCTAACGAACAAAACAAATGCACACATGTGTGGATTAGACGTGATTTGCCCCAGAATATTAGCATGAAAAGGTAAGAAAGGACGATATATATTTTAAATATATATACAGTTTGACTACTTATTCTTACTTTTAGTTATATTTAATGTTTATTTGAACATAATATGCGTTCAGAGGTGGGAATAAGCTTTCAAAAGAGATATAGCTTGACTATATTGACACAAGTGACTTCTAATACTGATGCTGTTAAATGAAAAATAACTGAATCCTCCCTGTACAGGGAGGGTGATCCTTAAAAGGATATTATACAAAGTATAATATTTGTGCATATTACACAGTTTACCAAGCTCTATTATAATTCATTCTTCAAGATCTATTATAATTCAAGATCTATTATAATTCATTCTTAGTCATCTGTCTGTGTTTAGCCGACGAAAGATACCTTCAAGATATTTCCTACAGGCCATTCCAGTGGTTTACATTCATGCAAATCTTTCAGTCTCTTCTCATATGACTCAAAATGGTGGGTTTACAGTCTCTGCCGTTTCTCCGCGCCGAGACGTCGTCTGTGGCTATCTCCCATGATTCCCATCGTCCTTGTGTCACAATGAATGGCAGGCTGGTGACTCGCGAACGTTTCTGCGCCGCTGAAAAGCACTGACCCACACATGGGTCACAGCGTAATGTCCCCAATGTCACTAGCCTTTCCAGATGAGGTAGAAATAGACTGTAATAACTACAGTGATGAAAAGCTATGTGTGTGCCGAACACAGGGAGGGAAGGGGGAGATGGATGGTACTCCTGAGTGTGTTCACAGAAAAGACCAGGGTGGACTAAAAAAAAAAAAACTCTAAGACTATCAAGCATTACGACACTGTGACAATAGAAAATAGTATGCACTGGTCCCTCCTTTATTACATTCTAAAAATAACCTGCAATAAGAGAAATCCTTGAAGTAGCTGCTATAAGTTTTTAGGCTGTAAAAGCCCTCAGCACACACTTTATACACTTTTCTAACCACTTGACTTCTCGACTGCTGAAGTTCAGTTGCAAAAATATCAAACCTGGTTGTACGTCTGAGCGCTGCTGCAACTGTTAAAAGTTTATGCCGTGCAATGCGTGCATACACCAACGGAAAGACTGCGGTAGTCCTCTGAAATAATCTCTGCATAGCGTCACAGACCAGGTTCATGCGCTAGACTAGTTTACTTTTCAATTTAGATCAATTGAAACCCAAGTGAGTGGGAGCAAAACTTTGTTCATGAGCTCTTAGATGGGTTCATCTACATGCCGTCTGTGTTTAATAACCACTGGCGGAGGCAACGATGGGACAAAAACAAAAGTCCCACCTTTTCATTATGAAGTGCATTTATTTTCATTGAAGATGTAATTCAGTTGATAAAAGACAATATGACTTGGTAACAAACATGATTGATGAGCCTTGAATAGTAGTTGGAAAAGACTTGGCAGTAGTAAAGTCATATAAATAGGCATACATTTCAGCGTACTGACCAACCAACATCAAAGGTGTGCGTCTGGCAGCTCCACACGATCTCCTCCTGTAGAATGGCGAGTTCATATCTCTTCTTCCCTGCTCGGTGAACACAGTGGAACTCAAAAGTCATAAATTACTGCTTGTGCATAAGTCGGGAAGAACCTCACGGGAAACAGCCTGGAGACGTGGCTCAGTGCACTGAAGCAGTAGGGGTGGCAGCATCCCACTTTGAGATTAATGCACACGCCTGTTTTATCAAATGCCTTTGTATCCGCAAGTGCAGGGAGTAAATGGGAAATACGTTATGTACAACTGTGAGGGTGCGACTCCAGGACCAGGCAGTGATTTGGGTTTTTTGTTACAGGAAGAAATATGGCTTATAGTGAAAAGAAGGTAGCGAGATTGTAGACTCTCGCTTGACTGCATTCTTCAATGTTAGCTGGGTAAGTTTTTGAACTAGAGTGGAAATATCTATAGCAAGGTTGGCTTGGTTTTGGTTAGTATGAGAGAGATGGGTCGTTGCCAATGGCTTACTGGTTATTCACTTCATGAGTTAGTGGTTGTAGCCTTATGCTGTCAACATCGTTGCTGTACGATCTAAGTTAGCCCTCTATTTCCAATAAATGTCACTGCATCCATGACACATTTCAAAACTGTTTCTCTGCCGAATATGTGCCTTAAAAATGCTTTTTATGTCTGACTTTGAAACCTTCAACAAGTAAGCCTCACCAAACTTCACTGTGCATGTGGTACCTCTCGAGTTCCTCTACTCTTTGGCTCAAATGTTTCCAATCTTCCATTTCATTTATACACCAACGGCACTCATTTGTTCTGGCAGCAGCTAAACATACTGAACAATGCAGCAAAATTGGTCTCTGCACATTTTCGTTCTGTGCCATATTTACGTTAGTGGACTATGTAATGAAAATGGAATTGGACTTGGCTACAGACTAAAAATCTCAAGCTAATCATTAAACTTTGACACTGGAAGTAGAATCTGCTTCAATTCAACCTTTTAGAATAGCATGCACTAATAATAAATACATAGGTTAAATATAGATTTTAGAGATTTCATGACACTTTGAAGCAACTGTGGTTAAAGTTCTAACTCATCATTCTAACAAATGCTCAAGACAGTACTTTTGCACTGCATGTTTTGGACTTCTGAAGGCCAAGCTACCGGCACAGTGGTGAAAGCTGATTGGATAGTGTTCATTCCTCTGTGATGTATAATATCACTTACATTCTGTAACATCTTTGTTCTGCTGTCTCTTCCATCGACAATAAAACATGTCTTCTGTCTGAATTAGAGGCACAATCCCAGACTTTGTCATCTTCTTCAAGATAATACAGATTATATCAATGGAATACAGGACACAAGTTGCATTGACCATAGATCTGGTTTACTTTTTTTTAAACCAGTTATGAGTTATAATATTAGATAATGTTAGATATTAGTATTACCAATCAATGATCACTGGAGATAATGCTTTCCCCACTTTGTAAACACTAGAGACAGACTGGTTTTACGCTATTCACCCTGGTCTTTAAATTGCTAGCACTGCTGCATCTGCCAAATTGTTCTGGAAATGTCAATTGCAAGAAATGTAAACTTTTATTTTTGTTTGACCTTTTTTTGTTTTTTTTTTACCTAAAGTTAGTTATCTGTCTAGCCTCATATCTCTGCCCCGCTGCTCTTACCTCTCCACAGACGCTGAATGTGACACTTGACTGCTGCCTCCTCCCGCCTGCCTTACAATCACAGCATCAGAGCACGTCCGCTCTTCTTCCACTCAATGACTACAGCGCTGCACAAACAGGAGGCTGTGGCCACAGCACCCTCTCTGACCGGGCTGTTCTCGGACTGAATAAGTAATTTACTGTTTTATCTTCCTCTAGAATACAGCTATGACCATTCTGCCCCTGATGTCCATCTTGTCCACTATAGTCCTCATCCGTGCACAACAACATCCTGTCTTAGTATATGACTGAATCTGGACTTTAACAAAAACTAAGTCAGAATCCATCAGTCACCTGTCCTCAGTCGGTGTGAGCCTGTGATATAGCCTTGAGTTGGGTAATATTATCAATTCATGACAGGCATATTCCTTCTTCACTTCAGTCTTGCTTTCGGATGGATAAAGCCCCGTTCCCATCGGACGAAGCGTGCGGCAGGTTTCCATGCAATGTCAAAGGTGCCGTACATCAGTGTGAATTGTCGCATGTGTGTTAGAGCATGCACGTTTCTCCAGCGATGCAGGTGTATTTTTGCAACACGGCATGTGCAGTACAGCAACTGATTGCTCTAGTAACAACGCAGGAGATGTACGTTGCTCAACTTTTAGGCCGGACTGGGGGCACAAGCTGCTCACAGCAGGAGGAAGACGCTTAAACAGACTTCAGTCTCACCTTACTATGGAGCTATTATTGTTTCAATAATATTTGTGTGTGCGTAAAAAGATTTGTGTGTGCGTAAAAAAAATATTTGTGTGCGTGTAAATAGATTTGTATGTACGTATCAAGATTTGTGTGTGCGTAAAAAGATGTGTGTGTGTGTAAAAAAAAAAGTACGTTTTCCACACAAGTTTTTATTTTACACACAAATCTTTTGACGCAGTCCTGCCTTCGCAGATTCGCAAATGTAACTTGGACTCTGTGCGTGCGTAAACAGATTTGTGTGTGTGTAATTTGACATTTGTATCTGTAACAACCTGTGTGTAAATAACCACATTGTACGTACGTGTTGTAAGTGCTACCCATAGGCTCTGTTTTACACACAAAGGTCTTTTTGACACACCTCTGCCGCCAAGCGTGTGTCAAAAAGATTCGTAAGTGTAATGTGGTTGTTCTAGCAGTACACCAGCAGATGGTGCTGTTGTAGCTGATTATTACCTACAAGCCAGAAAACCAGCAGAGTTTGTGGCACGTAAGTGTTAGAAAAAGTTCAGGACGACAAGGGACACTAAAATTCCCACAAAATCCAACGTTTATGAAAGCTGTCATCTCTGTCAGCTGTTTTAGTTTACATGGAGTTCTATCGGGAAAATTTCTGTGTAGCCCACGTGAATTTAGTCTGTAGTACGCGAGAATCCTTCAGCTCCAAGCTAGTAACACCCTATCCAGTTATTATAATAGATCCATGTATCATACAGTGGTGTGAATGACAGGATTTTGAATATAGGAAAATAATATCATAAACAGCTGCGGTAGTGTGTCTTATCAAGGCAGTAGGTTTTGGTTTGCTTGCGTGTAGGTAAATAACCAGCTACAACAGCACCATCTGCTGGTGTACTGCTAGAACAACCACATTACACTTACAAATCTTTTTGACACACGCTTGGCGGCAGAGGTGTGTCAAAAAGAAATTTCTTCTCTTCGTACAACGTGGTTATTTACACACGGATTGTTACAAATCTATTTACACACACACAAATATTTCTTTTACACACACACAAATCTGATTACGCACGCACAAATCTTTTTACGCACACACAAATCTGTTTACGCACACACAAATATTATTGAAACAATAATAGCTCCATACTTACTACATTATAGTATTTTCTTTAAATATGTATTTTGCACATACTCCAAATTCAACATACTCCTACAAGAACCTGCCCCGGGACCAAGCACTTTGTTGTTTATTTATTCACAGTCACACACTGAAATATGACTTATCATGAGGTACAGCCATTATTCGCTTTGACTCTCATTCACATGTGACACGTAGCTTGTGGCTGTTTATTATCTCATGTCATTAGTCGTGTGGCGCTAGTGCTCAAAGCGGCGTTGCAAATACACAAAGAAGTGACATTTTCTAAGATTTATTAGGCAGGAACACAAATAGTTGTACATGACATTTGCATAAAAATGGGCAAAATAATATATAATGCTGTTTGTAGGATCCTCTTCTTGAGAAAAACAAAACTATATGCTGCATGAAAAGCATGTTGCACACTTTGGGATAAAAAAGTCTTTATTTTACGATTGTGTGTCCACTGCACTCCTTTTGCAGAAGCTCTTTGAATCTCTTTTTCCAAGTGAACCAGATTTAATAATAATTCATCAGTTTTATATAGTAAGCAAGGCTACCAGTCTATGCCATCGGCCCCTCTGACCAACACACCAGACTCGTTATTGGCAATATGGGTGAAGTGTCTTGCCTCGGGACACAACAAAAGCACTTTACAGCTGCAGTCGCCTCACTATGGCTGGCTTTCACATGCAGGTATGGTCACTTGGACTTGAGTTAAAATAGGGATCATTTTAATATTTGCGCAACATTTCCTTCAGCGTAGCACTGGGAAAAGTCCCTAAACCTGAAACAATCTTTTACTCTAACTTGTTTTTCTTCATTGTCGAGATATTCCTCACCATGTTTCACTCTTTTGAATTTACACAGACCCTGAACAAAGCTAATGAGCTGGTTCAAATGTAGAATGTATGTGGGAGTAAAAGGTTGTCTTTCTATCAGCAAAGTTATGCTGTGGCTTATATTTTTCTATAGTTGTGTTTGAGTTGAATGTCATCATTATTTTTGTTTAAGCAAAACATAGAACACAGTAAAGCAACAAACTTTCTGGATATTTATCAGCAATTCCTCAAAGAAACACATTTACATTTTATACAAGTCAGGTTTGTAGAAATACACTTACACCTAGTGCCATTTAAATGTTAATTCCAAAGATTAGCTGTATAGTTTAGTTTCATAGTTGTACTGTATCTGAGAGATGTACTTTCTTTTCGCACAATGGAGATATTCAGTTTGATGAATAATAGTTGTTGTTTCAGACATTAGAACATCGAGTAAGAGAACCTTTATTCATCCCTCAGTGGGAAAATTTCAATAAACACGTTAGAGATGACTTTTCTATGCAGGTACTGGTCTTTTCAAATTTAGAACTTCATCTTAGAAAATAAAGCATTACCGCTAAACACTAGCCTGGCCTTAGCCATTTGTACACTCCACTCAATCATCATTTCACTGCATGTAACGTCTGGGTCTGGTCCCCATGTTAGCGATTACAATCGCTTGAATTTCGACCGACCATTCAGAGAGCGCGGAAGGCGGGTTATTATAGTTAGTTGTGGGTGATGTCAAGAGTTTGCGTCGAACGGGAAGGTTGTGGTGGCAATGGCGAAAAATGCGATAGTAAAGTAATCCGGTCTGGTTCAATCAGGAAATTGAAGCCGGAGCAAGAGGAATGTTTAGCCAGTGTAATCACTGGAAAAATTGTGGCGTTACTCCCTGCAGGCTCCGTTAGCGGCAAAGGAGATGGCTAGGCTAAATGCTAACGACAGACTCGGGCGCACTACGTACGATTGGATCTGAGTTTACCGTCACGGTAAACTCAGATCGAAACGTTTCAATTTGCAAAAGGAGTTTACCCCTCCCACCTGTAAACGGTGCTCAATGGAGCATATCCAGACCTTAGTACGAAATTTACCATACTAAGGTGTGGTACGACCAGGCTAGCTAAACACAAACACAATGAAATTATAAAAAGTAATGTCCATAATGTGCAAGTGTGTAATCAAATAATTAGCATTTGGCACTTATGCGCTAGACAGCAACAGGCAAAAGGAACTGATTAAGATTAAGAGATCCTTTATTTGTCCTTCACTGGGGAAGTTACAGTACAGTAGGAATGAGGAGCACACAACACAAGATAAGTGAATATTTTAGTGCAGCACGACTCTATACTTTAGTATAGAATAACATATATAACTTTAGCTTAAGAAAGAAACAAAGAAGAAAATATGGTATACACAAGTGAAAGAAATATACAGTACAGACCATAAGTTTGGACACACTTTCTCCTTCATTGAGTTTATGACTATCGACTAGATTCAAACCCAGGCTGTGTAAGGGCTATTTGACCAATATGGAGAGTAATGGGTGCTTCCACAGTCTGGACGTGAACCCAATCGAGATGGTTTCGGACCTGAAGCCAATCCAAATGGTTTTGGGGCTGGACCACAGAGTGAAGGCAAAAGGGCCAACAAGTGCTAAGCATCTGTGGGAACTCAGACAATTTCAGGTCACTACCTCTTGAAGCTCATCAAAAGAAGGCCAAGAGTGTGCGAAGCAGTAATCAGAGCAAAAGGTGCAACTTTGAAAAACCTAGAATATAAGACATATTTTCAGTTGTTTCATACTTGTTTTAGGTACGTACATAATTCCACATGAGTTCATAGTTGTGATGCCTTCAGTGTGAATCTACAATTTTTATAATCATGAAAATAAAACTCTGTAATGAGAAGTGTGTCCAAACTTTTGGTCTGTACTGTTTACTCACGAAAGTGGATTTTTAGAGAGGAAGAACTAAGCTCACAGCGCTCAAAGTCCTCCGACTGTTGCTTCACCGCAAAAAGCAACAACCAATCACACTCAACTGCAGCACCTCACGGAAATCCTCAGTAATCAGGCACTGCCCGCATTAAGCTTCATATTGCAAGGAAGTTCACTCCAAGCAGCAGCCTCATTCACGCCGCAACCCTCCTCCTCCCCATCTCCGCCTCGTTCTAGGCCAGCTCCTTCATCCTTCACCTACACTGTAAACCCGAAAAAGTTCAGTGAACTCAAACATTTTTCTCGTAACTGATTACACAAACAACTTTTGAGTTAATCTTTTGAAACTTTTAAGTTGAATCCAACCCAAAAGTTTTAAATACATAGTTCTTATATTATCTTCATTTTAAAGTCAAATGTTTTACTCACAACTAACCTAATATTTATAGTTGGGTAAAGTATTTATTTTGTCCTCTTTACACTCAAATTTATTGCAACTTAACTCATAAAAATTACATTAATACAAATTATATATTTTATAACTATCCATTTAAATATCAATGAATTGACTTGACACAAGAATCAAAATAACAACATTTATTTTAAAAATATTGCCCTTTAAGACATTTAAATTTGAACATTTAAACGTTGACAGTAGAAAACACTTTCCTCTACTTGATTCCATGACCAGTGAGAATAAACTAACAGCAAGTTTAAAAGAGCAACAATCACTGTTCTATCAAACATGTAACCTTAAATGCTTGTGTGCATGACCCCAAAGCATTAATTGAATTTTACAATACAAAATAAAGAGACCAATCATCTTTGATTTAAGGCATCTGCGGTGTCTCTTAAAAGATAAATTAAATAATAAAATAGACAAATTAAACCCCCAGTAACACTTTACAACTTTTTTCTGCTGACTACTTTTTCTGAAACCAGTCTAAACTTTTTTTTCTCCATTGAACCTTTGTGCGATGAGTACTAGAATAAGCTTTTCAGAACTGACAGAACATAAAATAAAAACTATTTGCACAATAACTAACACAAATTAGTGTTTAAAATGGAAAAACATCTCTGAACAGCTCATTTTTAAGGGCCCGTAGGCACGGTTTCATGACTCTATTGTCATCGAGGCATACCAGGATTTTTTGGATGAAGTTGAAAGTGTTCACAAGTTTCTTGGGGTACTCCATATTGAAGACAAAGATCAGTCCAAAAAGCAGAAGAAAGGCGTCTAGCATATTTGAAATCTCGGCCATCACAACGCTGCCTTCAAGAATAATCGAGACGGCTCCTCCTCCAAAGACATCTTGGGATGCCAACTGAAGAGCAAGGGGGCATTGCGAAAGGTCTGACTCCTCATCTTGCTGTTAAGTACAAAACGGTATGATATTATTTAATCATGTTAATATTTAACATTAACACACACACAAAAAATGCAACTCACCCCAAACCTTTTGAATAAGTCCGAGTCATCCTCTTTCAAGTAGATTGACAGGGCTCGAAGAACAAGGGTGCGCCTCAGATTCACATCTTGTCTCTCCTTATGAAACAAAAAATATAAATATCAGGTTTAGTTCAATTAACTCATTGCCTGCTGTCCCATTTCAGAACAGGTACTCCCATATTGCCAGTAGTTTGATTTTTATTGATTTTTCAAGACCCACAAAATATTGTGTACTATGACTATCTGAAATCCGAGACCAGATTCTGAAAGAATGGAATGTCTACTTTCATCAGCAAAAAGTTTTGTTTCTAGCTTGTTTCATTCCCCTGTAATCCCCAGTCGAGTAGAGGGAAGTTTTACTGAAATCACCAGACACTGCGCTGCTGCCACCTGCTGGCTTGATAAAATATGGTCTAAAGCAAATCCCCATACACATTAGATACAATAGACATCTGGGAACAGGAAAACAGCGGAAAACGCAATTGACACATTAATGCATCGATGGCACACGTTACTATTTGATTTGACGTATTAGTGAGTCTATGGCACACGAGTGCCATAATAATAATAATGATTTTTGTAATCAATTACAAAAAAAAGAATACTTTGTAGTACTGTCTTAAATCGTGGCACTATTTAAAAAAAAAAAAAAAAAACAATTCTGTTGCTTTTAAAGCCTGACTCCAGCCTAACTTTATGGGACCATCCGGATAGCACCCCAAACTGAAACATTTTGGTTCAAACACCATCTTTGTTTATATCATACAAAATTCTAAAAGTAAAGACAGTATCAAGTTTGAAATATTTCTTGCTTGACAACCTTTTGACAAGAGTTATGTTCAAATAACCTTCTACCCAGAATAAAAATGTATATATTTCACTGCTGCTGCTTTGGGGAAGGGTTTAGCCAGAACTCCAGATCAACATAGTATCGTCAGAACCAAAACTTGTAAAAATTGTTTATCTGACCACATCCTTCTCAGTCACACTATATTACAGAACATGAATGACTGGCAGCTTCATTAGCAAAATAAATCATTATGCCATTGTAATTTTTTTTTTTTTTTTTATCCTTAAAGGAATAGGCCGCTGTTTTTACATACTGACATATGTTCTTACCTTACCTTAGACTAGTTGATATGTACCTGTGTGATCTTTGTCCGTGCGCTCTGTCATGCAAACGGAGCCTCTTCCACAAAGAACAGACAGGTACATATTAACTAGTCTAAGGTAAGGTAAGAACATATGTCAGTATGTAAACACGGTGGCCTATTCCTTTAAAGTATGTTCTCATCTTTTTCTTTTGTGGGTTACACTTCTGCCCTAGACATTTAATAACAGATAAATACCTGCAAGTCGTATTCTCTGAGAATTAGCTGCAGGGCCTCAGCTATCTTTCCCGTGCAGGAAGCCTTCTTTCTGTATAGTCCAATCAGTGTCTGAGTATGCCGGTCAAGCTCTGCGTAGAATGTTTTGCAGAGATTCACATTGGTAATTCGATGAAACTCAGCAAAAATCTGTGAACAGAAGATATGTTTATTAAGTTTAAACTGAAATGTAATCATGAATTTAAATGAATTAAAGAGCAATACCTGTGATTCCATCAATAAAGCTGGCCATCGGGTGAGGTGGTCCTTTATAGGTTTATCCCCAGGTACAATCTCCTGCCGTCTAAGTGCAAATGTTGTCTGCATGCTTCTCCCAATCAGTAGTTGATCCCTTTCAGTCTTCTCCATTTCTTCCTTTAAATGGATTCTGATCTGTTCTAGGGAGGCCTGGTTTTCTCCTTTAGGAAAGTTTGGAAGGAAGTTGACTTCAGAACGTCTCGCTTTTTTAATATTTGAATGAGGGTGTTGATTTTCAGGATTTGTCTTGCTTCGTTTTCCAGCATTGACCGCTACTTCGGCACAGCCTGATTTGGACATAGTTGTCCGATAATTCCCCATCTTGTGTGCCAGACGTATTTTCCATCCATACCAAGCCGTCTCACTTCCTAGTTCTGAGAGGCATGGGTGTGCACTAACTAAAGCCTCAGCTGCTTTACCAGATCTCGGTCAGTTGGATATGCTTTGAAGCCAAAAACTGTTTCGGCCATCTTTTCTAAAATACTGTGCTTTTGGGCCCTGGACAATTTCAATGTTTTACCAGAGTCTCTATAAACGTTGATTGCTTCTTGTAGCACATATTCAATATCCAAGGAAAAGACAGGAACAGTAAAAGTATTGGGCCAGTGCTTTTGCCGCTGCTCTAGGGGCACATGCGGCATTATGTCGGTGTCTGAGCTTGCCACAGATAATTCGTCACTTTCAGTACGGACAACTCTTAATATGCCTTTTTCAGGAAGTTCATCAATGTCGATGAGACAGCACAGCATTCCATCAAAGTCTGGATCTTCATACTGAAGTGTAAATTCACCATCAAGTCTTGGACTGAACTTTTTTTGCATTATAGTTTTCAGCTCTTCAACAGATTGAGGACGTTGTGCAAGAGCCAACTTCATGGCTACATCTGTAGCAACATAAACACGGAGCAAATACTTGTGGGTTGTAGTCATCTTTCTTTCTTTGGTTGTCCGTCTGTACACAAAAGAAGGCACATTTTAATATTAGCACTCCGATTGCAATTGATATGGCAGCCCTATTTCAACAGAACATATCTCCTCAGTGTTACAAGCAATTTTCTCTCCAAGCTGTATCCAAATACAGGCAAGGAATCATTTAGATCCGATATGGTGCACACAATCAGATTCAAAGGGGAGAGCTCAAAGGATCGCAGGTGTTCAACGTAGTCCGATTTATGATCTCGTGCAAGGAAAGTGATCTCATTATCAATGAGGAATATCTTCTCAATTTTGCAGAACTTAGGCAAGCACCCTTCATGGCTAAAAGAAACGAACATGCCAACAGCATAGTCAGTACCATCTACAGTTACTCTCAAAGTGGAATGAAGAATATCACTGTTTGTCTTTTGTTTGACATATACCTTGGCAACTTCTGGAAGTGTGGAGACGAGCACAGATATGACACTTGAAGTGTGTTGGTGAGGTTTAAAGAAGGAAGGAGAGCTAAGGTAGAATGCTACCATTTGTTGATGTCTTGTCGCTAATGTTTTCAAAACATTTTTGAAGTTCTGTGTGTCATGAACAACCCTCTTAAAAAATCGATGTTTACCTTCAAACCTCATAGTCCACACGTGGACAAGAGGACCATAACAACGAATGAGGTGTGGATAATGCTCTATGAAGTGGTGTTTGGGGCGGAGATTAAAATCCGGAAAAACTTCCTGTAAACTCTGTCTGTGATCTTCAATTTTGGACTGTAAATATTGAATAGTTTCCTCAGTGAACTTAGGAGACAACATCAATTCGACAATATCCTTTAAATCCATGAGGATTGACCAATAAGCATCTTGTTGCGGGACTTTCTCTCCAATCATCAAAGGAAGCAATCGGATAATGGTTGCATTTTCATGTCCGTTGCCCCCTATGGAGTGCTTTGCAGCAAACTTTCTGGGAATAGGTTGTGGCCTGTCAACTTTGTCTGTGTGCTGATATGGGAAGGACTGTATTCTTTTGTTTAAATACTCTAGAGTGAAATACTTGCGGCGGATCATCTCACCTAAACACAGGGCCAGCTCCACAGGTACAACACCTTCAAACAAGTCATGTAGAACATCTGGGGGGAATCCAGTCACTGTGTGAAAATGATCAAGATGTTGATTTAAAACGCATTCACGTTGGACACCACATTGTTGTCGATGCAGTTCCTGTGTCACTGTCTGTACGTCCATGGCATGACTGGATTTTGTCCTCAGAGTGAAGTGTCCCTCACTAACTTCATAGGTTTGAATCTGATCTTGAGTAGCGGTACAAAATCTACAAAAATGTGTGGTCCTGAAAGATTTAGTGAAGCCTGCCAATGAATGTGCAGCTAGATTGTCCGACACCACACACATTACAGTGCCACGAACAGCTTTACCAAGAGATTCGATGAATACACCATCATGCTCAAGTGTACAAATGTCTTTCAGTAGAGGCCGGAGAACTTTCTCATAACCAAATCTCTCAAGGTCTGTCACTTTACATAGTGTTGCAAGTTGAATAACATGCAACGCAGACTTGTGCTTACTTGGAAGATCAGCAAACACCCAATATATAGTGCTAAGTTTATGTATTTTGCGAGAGGTGCCAAGAGGATTTGCAAGTTCAATGTCGTCTGTATACAAAATAAGAGGCAATCTCATTTCCTCTGCCAAAAAAAAGTCATTTTCTTTGAAGTGTGAACCATCACGATGGTTTGCATAATGACCTGTTTGACTGGCTTTAGTTTCCTTGATTCTGTCAAGAATGTCAGTGCTTTTAAATATTTGCTGTATCATTTGAAGCACTGGCACATGTACTGTTGTGTGTCCTGATTCCAGAATGTATTCTACAGGACGGACGATAGGGAAGTTTCTCTCAATAAATGTTTTTCGCCTCTTGTTTGATGACAAAACTTCTCCTTTAGCAGTAGATGTGGCAAATACGTTGCAGTCGATGCAAGCTTTAACCATGTCAGTGATTAATGTTTCAGAAGCACTTATTCCATGATTTTGAAAAATATTCATAATATCCGTTTTTAACAGTGGTTGGGACAAGGTGAATATCTGAGTCAACTGCTCAATGATCTCCTGAGTTGCCATATCAGAAACATGAAGCACAGTTTTCATTCTTAAAAACAAAGATGCCAAGTTGTTTTGTAGCTGGTCTCTTAAATCTTCCCGCCTCTCGATTGTCAGTTCTTGATTTTCCAATAAATCAACTTCCTCTAAAAAACTATGACCCTCATCAGGATCCATGGAACTCGAGGGCTCTGTTGCGTCTTGTACAACTGAAAAAAAATGGTTCTTAATGTCTGAACTTCCACTATGCTTTCTACTTTTGTGGACATTAAATGCATAGTAGCTGTTGGTTCGGAAGTTGCAGTCTTTGAAAGGACAGACCACCATTTCGTGCATTCTTAAATGACTTCGTAAATGACTGAAGAGTGTGTCCTGACTATACACATTTTTGAAGTTGCATAGATCGCATGAAAAATTGACCTGATTTTGTTTCTTTTCCAAAGCCTTTGTCCTGTGATAGCGGGATACATGAGCTTTGAGAGCATTGTATGACGTAAATGTGCAAATACAGTAGTCATACAGACATGGCAAAGGGCTAACACTGGAATAATTTCCATGATTTAATCTGTAGTGTTTGAAGAGTTTAGCTCTCGAGTCCAAAGATAGAGGACAAAGCTTGCAAGTCCAATCCAGTGAATCACAACCACCCTGCAATTAATAAATTACAGCCAATATTTCCCAGAGTTAAACTGCATATTAATACAAATATGAATTACCTCAGCCATAAAATCAGAACCTGATGGACGTAGAACGTGTGGTCCACTCTAGGAGAGAGAAAACAGGCATAGTAAATTGTTATATTTTTTTGGTTTAAGGCTATAAACATTATTTGAACTTACGATAAATTATTTCAAAGGATCAGATGACACCAAGTTGAGATATTCCTGAAATTTATTTAAGAAAAATATTTTGTATCTGGACTTATTCTGTTTTTTAACCATTAATATATCACCCAAAACATAATAAATACTGTGTTACTACTACAACTAATCAGAACAATGACTTTAGTCAGAATTTTTAATTTAATTATTTTCAAAATAAGTTACACAAATGTATGGAAAAACATTCCTCCATAACATATTTAAGTGTGATTGGAATCAATAATGAAAAGGCATACTGTGCAAATAGGCTAAAAAAAAGCAATGCACATTCAATATGTTAAAATATGAAAATTACTGTTTTACCACTAAATGAGTTTGACGCTTCCAATTGCTGCTTCCACTTTATCCTGCAATATAAAATACAAATTAATATAACGGAAATTAGAACTCACATGGCTTAAACTATTATGTGTGACTGTATATTATCAACAAAACCCTACACAGGAAAAAAGGCAAATATAACAATAAGTTGTAAGAAAAGTTTAACAGCTTTATCTCCCCATTTTCATTTTTGCAACTCTAATAGGAGGTATATAAAAATACTGTAAATACTACAAGTGGAAATACAAATAATCCAAGTACTATAAAAGATAATACAACAAAAGTACCAAAAACGAATGCCTTATGAGACAACCGAACTAAAGAAGCATGTAACAAGGACATAACGTGTAAGCATTAAAAAAGTTGAGACGCGCCGAGATCTGGCGGAAGATAGAATGGACTAAAACCTACATACATATATGCAGTCACTCAATACATTACATTTAACGAACTCACAGGCTAACCATCCGCATTTAACCTTGCTAATTTATGCTAGCAGCAACCATGAGGTAGCCGCAGACATCCGGCGTCGAGAAACTCCGACGAAATCCGTCCAAATGGTCAACTCACTGACGTACACACGTGTGTCAAGCCCCGTTTTATGTGCAGAAACAAATAACAGATCAGAAAAAGTACAATTATACGTACATTTGCGGGGCTTAGTTGCAGCCGTCTCCTCCGCCTCGCGCAGCCATCTTGCTTCGTCAAACTTTGTGCGTGAAACAGACCGTCCGTTCAGTGACGTCATGACGTAAATGCGTCACGAACTCATAAAGTTTACATTTACTCACAGTTAGAATGCATACATTTTATCTCATATGAAACTAAACTAT